AGCAGAGAAGTAAGATGACATAAAAGTATATGTTGACAGCGGTTGCTAGGGTTGGTGCTGGGAGCAGGGATCGGCTGCAGCGAGGTAGAAAAGAGCTTCCAAGGCGGTCAGAAGGAACCTGAAGCTTGAAGAACAGAGCGATGGCCGCGCAACTGTACACTAACAGGACTCACTCACTCATAACGCAGAGCCAGTGCTCTCACGACATACATCTCTGAAAGTGACTCTAAGGGTGCTGAGAATGGGCTGGAGAAGTGCTCAGTGGGGAAACTGCTTGCCGTGCCAGCAGGAAGACCTGCGCGCAGAGCCTCAGAGCACACACGTAAAGCTAGACCGGTGGCGGACGTCTGCAGCCCAGCACTCCTAGGGAAGGATAGGATAGGAGGTGCATCCAAGAGAATATCTGAAGTTCTCAGGACAGCTCGCCCAGCACACGCACTGCAGAACAGGAGACCATATCTCCACAAAGGTGGATGGCAAGGACCAACCCTCGAGGTTGCCTTCCGTGCCTGTACACAGATGTTTAAAATATTGAAAATGTTTGAAAAAGTACCTAGTTCATAGTAGTCAGATGTTGGTTCTTGTCATCTGATAAATTAGACTTGTCAAACTGTAAATGTTCATCTAAAAAAAATCTACTACCCTCCCTTTAAGTATGATGATCTTTTCCTGCCATGGTAGAAGGATCTAATTTGTTAACATATTCCCAAAGATGTAAATTAAACCTATTGTCCTGGCTATCACTGTGTCAGAACACGTGAAGGGAGGGAAAGGAGGTTCAATGTAAAGAGGACTCAGTCCATCACAGAGGGGAAGGAGTGGAGGCTGGGACTCCATAGAGGGTGAGGTGGGACTTGCAGCAGGCATGCTGTATCTTGACGGAGCAAGAAGCATGTTGGGTTGAAAGCAGAGCCAGCCCACATAACCGTCAATAGGGGCCCCTATGACCTGCCTCCGGCAGCTAGGACTCCTGTCCAACAGGTTTCATACCCCACCACCACCAGCTGGGGACAAAGTGTTTACGTGCACAAGCCTAGGGTGCACTTTCCATTTGAGCTGTAAGAGCCACTTGCCTCGCAATGAAGATTTTACAGAGAGAAGTCTATCAGTGGCAGTGACATTCAGCTGATCCCACATCCCTCCACAGGGTGCTTTCCTTTCAAAAACACCACAGGCTTCAATGCTGCCGTTTTCACTTCAATGCGCAGACGCACCACAAGCCACACCGATGAGTTGACAGACATAGCCGTGGTCAGAACAGTAGCTATCACAATGGACATTTTCTTAAGGCTGAGAAGTAGTAGTTCCGGGCTGGAGCAATTACCTAGCATGTGTAAGCCCTGGGTTCAAGCCCTAACACTCAAGAAACACATGGTTGTATTTTCCTGACAGCAATGCTGAGTTTCCTCTGAGCCTGGTACTGGGAAACATGAATAGTTCCTGAACCCTCAGATTCTTTCTCATACCAGGAAACGGTAAAGGGGAAGGACTGTCCTTCTATAGCCTCACCTAAGGCCAACCTTGCCCCTTTCTCATGAAGCCCATAGCTCTACAATGCTCCATCTGCCCCCCTTTAAAACCATAGCGTTTCTTTTCAGAAGTTTCTCTACTGCAACAGGCCAGATGAAATTACTGTAGCTGTTTAGCGCACACTGTTTTGATACTGTAATAAACTTAGCTGGCTTCTCTATTTACTTCTGGGTAACAATGTAATTTGAAATTTAAGATTTTTATACTGTCTTAGAGTATGTACAAACATACCTATATTAACTTTTTCAGTGCATGTGTCAGTACTAGTGTATAAAACAGAGAAGATAAAATTGATTTACACACATGACGGCAGCCATGTCATAGGAACAGGTAAACTTTCAACATACAGACAACAATTGTTTAGGTTTCACGTGTCATGCTGTAATCTGGAAGAACCCACTGATGATCTATAAACAGATGGGCACGCCAAATCGGGTTCTGATAAAATCTTATTTACTAACAAAGGCAGTGGGCCGAAGCTTGCCATTCTGTTCTAAAGCAGTATTTTCCAAGGGGAACTCGAAGGAACACCACTGCCAGGACATGAACATAGCTACTGTGAAAACAATAGGAGTGAGAGAAGCTGAACCACAGGAAAATATTCGGAGAAAACTGAGGGGTGCTTTTCCTTGACACAGTACTTCTCAGCAGCTTCAGAATGTACTGTACACCGTGGCTCTGCAAGGAACAACCATTGAAATATTTTTCTTAACTTCAAGTCAAATTGGGCACGGTGGCACATGACTAGAATGCTAAATAGGAGACGAAGGCAGGAGTGTCACAAATGCAAGACCAGCCAGGACTCTATAGTAAGGCCCCGTCTCAAGCAACTGTAAACCCATAAGCAAATTACCCCTCAAGTTATATAACTGTGCTTTTAAAAGCAATGAAAAATAATCCAGGCACTCATGGCGCACACCTTTAATGCCAGCACTGGGGAGGCAGAGGCAGCAGATCTCTAAGTTTGAGG